GTTATGTGGTTAATCAAAGCCATGACAATTTTGAAATGTCAAATGCATATGAGATAAAACCCATACACCTACAAAATGTCAACATTTTTGTAACACGTATCATACTGGATAGAATCCCAGCCTGTGCACTACATGTTTTTAAACCAAATCTTGTCAGTTTAATAAACTGTAAATAGTGTCTTATTCATTAATAATCAAATCCGCTATGAATCATCTCCTATACAATCTGAAAGTACAAGCAAAAAACACAAACAAGTTACAACACCCTACATAACAATACATGTTTTGGTGCATGTTAGGGGGTTTCCCATTACATAGTGTATGTTTATTTTTCAACAGTATTTTATATATTTACCTTTAATTTCAATACAGGGCAGCTGGCTGGGAGCCATTGTTGTACCCTGACTCAAAACAGCAATCGATATTATAAAATAAATAGTTATTATTCAGCCTCTGGGCAAAATGAAGAAGGAAATTTTAAAGTATATATTTCTAAATAAGCCATACTAACTTCCATAGTCAGTGGTGGATTCAAGCGGGAGGGTGCAGCTGACCTGGTCCCCTGTAAGTTTGTGAATATTTAAAAAAAACTGAGTGAAAAAGAGAAAATTATATTTAGATTAAAGTTTGAGTGTGCCATATCTGGCCATCTTGAGATGCCATAGCCATTCAATTTCCTACCTACCAAACTGTGATGGGGGCTGCGGTGGTATATAGACCCTTAATGTGTTAAATCCCTTGGGCCCCCTATGTTTTGAATTCCAGGATCCACCATTGATAGTCCGTATTTCCCCAGCCTGTAGGTGTGAGACTGTTGTTTTTTAAATTTGAGGAATATTATAAGGATGAATTATGATTATGTAAAGATATACTGTAAAGGTAATAATGAACAATAAAGGTAATAATGAACAATATAAAATACAATAGTTATTACTGTTTACTTTGTACACAATTGAAGTGCATTATAATTTTCTTCATTATAATAAGTATTTTTTATGGAAAATTAACAGATGCTTACTATTTCTATTTATTTTTTATAAACCCTTAACTTTGCCGGTAATCAACGTAATGATTTTCATAGAAAAAGTCTGTAGCTTATAGAAAAGCTGAATATTTCCATTTTCCTAATTGTAAGTTAATAACTTATTTGCAGTGGCGTGTCTAGGAATCTTGAATAGGATAATAATGGGTGGGAGTATGAAGGTGAAGTGGGGATAATAGGTGGGGATATGAAGGTGAAGTGGGGATAATTGGTGGTGTATGAAGGTGAAGTGGGGACTTGAATTGGGGGATAATGGTGGGGTATGAAGGTGAAGTGTGGGACTTAAATTGGGGGATAATGGTGGTGTATGAAGGTGAAGTGGGGACTTGAATTGGGGGATAATTGTTGGTGTATGAAGGTGAAGTGCGGGACTCGATCAGGTGAGGGGAAGTAGCTCACAAAATAATGTGATGAGGTGATTTTTAACTACTTGTGTGGGATATTTTTTTGCTTCCAAGTATTTTCAAGTTGGGGGGGAGGGTTGGGTGACTGGGGGTGTAGTGTGATTTTGTTTTGTATATGTACTATACTATGGTGAGAATATGAATTCCTTTTAGATGAGTCATGTAATTATTGACTTTTTTAGTTCAGAAACTAAAATAGTGTCATCGATAGTACAGTAATTATAACAGGGGCGGATTCAGAGATGTCCAAAAGTGGGGGAGGGGGGCAGCCCGATTGAGAGACAACACTGCCCTAGGGGGTCCGAGAAATTTTTACTTTCGGCCGGAAATAACCTCTAAAGGCGTTCTGGGCGATCAATGATTTCTTTTTCTTTCTTTCCAGTGTTTTTTTACTTTTCAAAATGGGAGGTGGTGGGCCAGTCCAACACCCCCTCTAAATCTGCTTCTGAATAAAATAAATATCAACACATAGAGATGAGCTTAATTAACCAAATAGACAATCAGGTTGCTTATTTGGAATATAATTAAAAAAGGATTAGGACCAGTATAAATAATGAAAAAAACATTTTCACTATGATATTCATAAATCCAATATTTTATGAGTGTCAATGATTATGAACTTGACATGGTGAAATGAGCCACCCAATGAGCGTGCTAGCGTGGAACGGACAATTAATTGTATGAATGATTTTTTTCTACGGAAAGAACAAGCGTAAAATGACTGTAGCCAGTTTGGCAGATGTGTGATTGTTCCTCCTTTTTACCTGTATTGTTCCCTTGAACAAATCGTTTGTTATGGAAATTAGTCAGCTACATTGTCAGACAGGCCATGCTCTATTGTGTATGTGTCCTGTTGCATGCGGTACACACTTGTGATCGTCTACAATTTACTAACAGTGCATTTGTGTAGTGATGATAGCTTATTGAACTTTCAAACAGTTTCACTTTATTTTTTTAATTGAATGTCAATGCTAAAAAAACAGACTATTAGATAGACAAAGAGTAGAGCATATTAA